AAAAAAATATATATATATATATATATATATATATATATTTAATTATTAATTTGTACCCGTAAAATAAAAATAGTTAGTAGACTCCAGACAACAAAATCTTTAGAATCCAACACCACTATTTACTTTATACTTTGTTTCGGAAAAGGAGAGAAATTGAAAGAAATGAAAGTAAATAGATAAGAATTATTTTGACAAGAAATGAATAAAAATCAGTGAAATAAAATGAAATTTATAATTATTTGATAAAATAGAATTAAGTGAAAAATAAAACAAAATTGATATTTTAAAATTATATTATATAATTAAAATTAATAAATTATTTAGACAATTGCATTTTTACTCTTTACTAACTTTTTTAAAATGCTTGTTTAGACAGTAGTGTAAAATAATCTTTGCCCAAACATTTTTTTGTTAAAAAATTCTATACAAATCCACTTATAAAAGAGTTGAATTAAATCCATATAGACCTCACTGCAATATCCTCTCAAATCCACTTAAATTCTCTCCTTCAAACACATTATTTTTAATTCGTTGGTAATCATTCTCTTTTTTCTCTATTCCTTACTAAATCACCTCTCTAAAACAAATATGTAAAACCTTGTTTAAGAAATCGAAACCAAGTTTTTCTGTAATAAGTACTTCGGAAATAGTTTATCTAAATTTGTAGTGTGTAGGGCCTTGGTCAAGAAAACGGAGGCAAGGTTTTTCAATAGAAAAAGTCTGCTAATAACCTCTGCAAGTACCGATTTGTATCATGTAAATAGCAAATTGGCAGCACTGTACATTCTACCCTATAAGTCAACCAATAAAACAGGTAATAATTGATTGACAAAAAGTTATTCATCCTAACGATAAAGCAACAATGCTAATCTGCTATTGAATTGATCCATCTAGAATCGGAATCATTGCATGAATTGCAAAAACTCTGTGGCAAAACAATCATTTTGGCCCATCCTCTTCATAGTCTCAACGTATAAAACATCCCCAACAACAACCTGCACATTGTGCATAAATCCCATATCAAAACCTCGGACTGATAAACACAAACGTGATTTAAAATTAAAATAGCTCAAAAGGGATTTTGTAAAAAAATAAATGCTATAGTAATAATAAACAAAAAACAACTGTCAACCAATTTGTTTGACCCAGTGATTGTCAGGTCAATCCTGAAATATGAGAAGTCAACCTGATGCTTCTAGGATCTCGCAATGTTAAAATAATGTTTGGTCATCAAAATTACATCCCACGAAAAAAAAAAAAAAAAACAAAACAAAACAAAAAGAACTTCCTACCGGAAGCATGATAACTTCTTGTATAGAGAGAAGACAAAAATTAAGGGCATTTCATGTATGCATCAGGTCTTCTTGTTAAGGGTTAAAAAATTTCTCCGTTAATTAACACAAATGAGATAATTTTAGAGTAAAAGATCAGTCCTAGTTCGTGTATGAGCTGATGCAAATTATTCATTGGGATTTTAACAAAGCAGTGCAGGCAAAGCCATACATGATTCCGGAGTATTTCAGGGCTTGCGTACTTCAAATGGAAAGGTAAAAATAAGAAGTACAAAATAGGATAGACCTCCTCTCAATACCTTTTATCAATGACATCCTCTTCAGTACATGTTTCATTGCAAAACTTCATCGAGCCTGAGAACAATTATACATAAAAATGAGATTATAATTTGAAATGCGTTTAAAAGAGTGACAGTAATGCAACTGCTACAAAGTAATTGGGTAGTGCATTTCTTATTCTCAAGAACCTGATGCCCAAAAATTAGAATCAACTTATAAAGCACAGAAAAATTTAACATGTTTCCATATAAAAATACATAGAATGGAGCACTTCTAAAAATGCTGTGCAGAACCTAGTACCTGAAAATTGAAATAATTAAACCACATGCCAAACTGAACATTGTAGCCATTTGATTTTCAGTTGAAGGCTCGAAGCAATTGACAATAAAAACTCAATTATATTTTCTACGTCAAATATGATTATGTGTCCTTCTCTCTACACTTGTCTCAGTAAAAACACAACTGGTACCACTTAGCAGCAATTCTGAGGAAGCCAGAGGTCTGAAAAGCCTCAAGCATTCCATGTTGCCATGAGAATACCTGAGCTATGATAGGAACACACTAATAATAAATGATTGAGACATATCATGTCTTCTTTAAAATAATGATTCTAGTTAGCTGAAAATTGATAGAAACATTGTGGTGGTCTTGAATATCCGGGAAAAAAAAAGTTTTACTGATAAATGTTTAAGAGGAACAATTTATATAAATTCAGTTTAGTGCTTAAAATCATCATAATATCATTCGAAACACAGAAATGTCAAAAGTTTAAAAAGGTAGGGAACTTGTACAACTCATGTGAAAACCACTGTTATCCCTTGAAGAGGCTAATTGTACTAACAAACTCTATCAATTCTAGATTATAGTCGACATACTCTACAAATGCTACACTCAAGCTTTTTTTAGTGCTTAAAATCATCATAATATCATTCGAAACACAGAAATGCCAAAAGTTTAAAAAGGTAGGGAACATGTACAACTCACACTGTTATCCCTTGAAGAGGCTAATTGTACTAACAAACTCTATCAATTCTATATTATAGTCGACATACTATACAAATAATACACTCAAGCTTTTTTTCTCCTTGCATGGGGGGTTGGAGGGGTTAGGAAATATTTATCTCAACATATTAAATGAAGTGGATGATGAATAGCTTGAACATGATTGGTAGTCTAAGTATTTGAATTTGTAAATAATAACATTATATACAGTAGAAACTCTTTAAATTAATACTCGGTAAATTAATAAACTCTCTAAAATAATAAATTTGTCCGGTCCCGACTTGGGCCAATGTAAAAAATTGAAAAACTCGATAAAATAATAAGATAATAATTTTTCGGGAGATCCCTTTATAATTTTCGGTCCCAAGAAAATCATAAATTAATAATTCATAGAAACTGAAAATATATTACACTCTATTGAAATATGATTCAATAGTTGTCTGTTTTCCTTTAAAATTCAAGTCTATTTGGAGCTCATCTCTAACTTTTCTTATATGCCAAACTTGCTTAAGAATACATTGAACACATTTGTTCCTCTTGTTTACATTTACTGTACAGTACTTCAAAAGTCATTATTGATTTCCAATGCATATGTACTTCAAAAGTCATTACGTATTGATTTTCAATGCATATGTACTTCAAAAGTTACTAATTTACGTTGAGTCCCAAGGTTCGCTGCAACGTAATTCTAAGAAGCATAGACTAATTTGCCTTTTTGTTTGGTATGTACAGTATAATTACTTAAAAACTCTTTAAATTAATAATTATTAATTTATCGATAAATTAATAACTCTCTAAATTAATAAATTTCTCCGGTCCTGACATTATTAATTTAAAGAGTTTCTACTGTATAAGGTATTGAATGGAAAAAAGAACACCAGAAGCTGATAAAAGATTAACCTCTATATGAACCAAGCCATAAATTAATACATAGAGATAGAAGTGTAAATTGGAACTTAGTCAATATTCATTTCTATTCCATGAATATATTGTTTCATTTTCACTCTGACAGAAGGGTATAATCGGTCTTAATCATACTCAATTTCATTTTCATTAGGTAAGGTTTCATTTTCATACAATTCACTGAAGAAAAAGTGAAACATCTAACAAAGAAACATGGTACCGGCTGTTTTTCATCCTCTAGATTGGTTTCTCCTAAAGCTGTGGCGTCATTCTCAAAAAGACAGTCATTCCTTGAACATAGTTGTAAAATCTTTAGACAACTAAATTATAAAGTGAAAGGAAAAAGATGAAGAACAGTTTGGAAACTTTTGTTTAAAGAAAGTAACCACAACACCAATTTTGAAAATAAATCAAGTTACTATTTTAAAGCTGCGAGTTCACATTTTCCCTAGTATTCATATTTGCCACTCGTGTTATAACTAATATGATAACCTTAAACACAAAATTACTTTATTATAAATTTAGTTTTCTTAAATAAAATTTGGGTCTTCACAAATGTTAGCCACTAAACATACTGGTCAAGGAAGATGGGTCAGTATAGGGTCTAACATGTTAGCCCCTTTGAGCCCCACTCCTGTCACCCAGTTGAGCTGTACTTTTTAGAAAATAAAATATTTAAAGACACCCATAGATCTAACTAGGTTATATGTCCACATGCCATTCTAAAATTCTAGGAATTTTCTGGAAACTAACTATATATGCCACAATTATAGAAACTGTAAAAAGGGGAACCGAATAAGATGTGGAAATTAACTATATATGCCAAGAGATTAATTATAGAAACCATAAAAAGGGGAACCGAATAAGATGGAAATCATTGCCTGATTAACAAATTAAAAGCAAGAATATACAAACAAAACAAAGTACGGCACAAGTCCACATCTTTGTCTATCAATCTAGGTCTATCTATTCTGCTAATGATCAAACATAAAGTTGCACAAAATAAAACACAGGAAAACCACAACATCCCAAGCCTATAATAGTAATTGAGAGAATACAACTCGTACATGAAATCTATAGAGTACCTGAGAATTGAGATGTTACTTCACATTGGCAATGCAGAATTCAGCGTCTTTTGGTAAGGGATTTATTATGCAACTCTAGCAAGCCTTGAAGAGATTCCAAAGACCATGTGTCTTCATTTTGGGCATATACTTTTTGATTTAGAGAGTCTATTATTATGCTGACATTACCAAACCCATATATTTGATGACCATTGTGCATTCTCCCAGGTTTAAGCTTGAATAGCAAACCATGTTGCTGAGCATGGGCTTCAATGACTTCTTTCAAGCTCAATTCGTGCACACCATCAACATTGGCCGTACCGCCCAAGCTTGCAGCAGCTTGCTGTTGGGCATATGCTGCTGCTTTTTGTTGAGCCTCAAATTGTCTTTGCTCAAGTACCCTAAGATAACTTATATTCTCCTTTAAACCAGGTTGGACAACCTCCATACCTTCAACAGCCTGGTTCATCATATCAAGACCACGATTAAGCTGGTATCTGATACTTTCATTTGCCAAAAGTTCCTTTGGAATGAGTTCTTTCCACCCCAAATACCATTTTGTAACTTCTTCAAAGTTAGGACTTGAGCACAACCAATGATACAAAACCTGAAGCCATTTGGCAAAGAAGAATTTCTCCATCATATCAACCATAAGATGAATAGGAATAGCAGAAGCCCAGTTCATTACCCAATAAAACTGATCAAGATTCTGATTTGCTGGGTTCACTTGGAACTCTTGCAAGACAAGCTGCAACTTTGGTACAATAAAACGAAGCATAAGCTGTTCCCAACTTGCAGAATCAAATACAGTCTTCCATGGAGACAATATAGCATAAGCAGAACCATCACTTGGGTGCCAGGCACCAAGAACAGTGCTCAATTTAAATCGAATCACCTGGTAAATACCCTCCAACTTGTGTCCCAGCAGTGGTAACCATGGATGCACCCAAGTGTGAATAGGAATAGTCTCACGATGTGGCTCCCAAGTATCTACAGCACTTGATAATTTTGGCATGATTATATTGTCTAATACGGTAGCAAGGACTGAAGAAGGAAGCAACTTTTCCCAGGATTCCAGAAACCATAACATTGGCTCAGGATCCCGTGCCTGCCAGGTATTGATGCCAGATATTCTAACAGCTGGCAATACAACCTCTGAAACCAACAGAGTATAAGGTGATGATACATCCCATATATCAAAAGAATCTTCTCCTTGAAGTAGTTCCTTCCACTGCGATACCAACTCCAACCCATGAGATGGATTTCGAAGAGGATCCCATCCTTGGAAAACTCTGATAAACAGAGGCAGAGCATATGAGCAAGCAATGCATGACAAGTTACACAACTTGTAGTTATCAGCATATCTTTTGCGTAAGTCACCGAAGCACCGAGCAAGGGAATCCAATGTTAACGTTCCCAAAGTGTTCTCTTCTCCAACATGGTCTAACAAACTCATTATTTCCTCCAAATTATCCAGCTGCTGCTTTTGAAATGCTGCCTCAGTTTCTAACTTCTCTTTTTCCTTTTTCAAGCTAAGTGCTGTCTCCCTCTCTCTCCTCAAATCTCTATCAATCTCTTGGATGTCAGTCTCTGCCAACCGAACTATTAATGCTATGTTATGCTGAAGTTCCGGCATGGGGACATCATTTTCTTTTGCTTTCTCCTCAGCATTCAAATCAGACAAATTTGTTAAAACTCGAACTTGTGGCCCCCTCATATCATAAACCTTCTGAACAACCTCCAACTCTTGTTCTTGCTTGCTCGCCAACAACTCCTCAGCAGTTATATACTCTTCATCTTTTTTCTTTTTCAATCTTGCTTGTTTTGACCAAGACCTCTCTTTTGTTCTGCCAACCGCGGGTTGGGTGACTTCAGGCACACTCTTCTTCTCTTGCTGCAAAGCAGGCAACGGCATAGTCTCCTTAGACTCATTAAACCCAATACCAGAATTCTTGGCCCTCAATTTCGCCTCAATAGGAGCCAGAATACCTTGCTCATTCTTCCCGAGCCCACCTCCTTTATAACCCATCTTCTCCAACAGCTTCATCCCTATCCCTTTTGTATGCTTCTCAAATTTCCCAACATCACCAGACCCATCTTGACCTAAACTCTGATGCTTCCCCCTCTTCTTCTCCAACCTCTCCCTCTCCCTTTCCTTTTCCCTTCTCATTGCCCCCTCCTTAATCTTCTTCCCAAACGCTGTAGGCAAGAAAGTATTATCATCATTCTCATCAGAATCATCATTTCTTACAGAACCTTTTGCAGAATTACTAGAATTAAAGCCTAAACCAGACCCAGAAGTGGTAGCAGACCCCATACCAAAGCCTAAACCTAATCCCGGCCTATCCTCACTAACATAACCATCTTTCTCATCCAGCTCTTTGGACTTATTATCAATTTCCTGATTAGGCATAAAAATGCCTGTAGACACAAAATTCACAGGCTTGGTGAGGTCAGGCTTCTTCGAAAAATCGCGATCCCTTCTCCGTTTTCTACTCGAATAATCATCATCTTCGTTGTCGTCAGAATCTGCAAAAACTCCATAAAGAACATCATCTTTGGTCTGCGTGCGCTTTTCTTTACGTTTCTTATAGTAAAACTCGCCACCGATCCATTGACCACCCTCATAATCATTGTCCATTCCAAATCTCTCCATCTCTTGATCCTCGTCCATTTTTTAGGACAGATAAACCTATAATTAAACAAAAAAGAAAAGTGTAAATTTACAACCTAAACAAATTACACAGTACATTTCCCTGTTCCAGATTTTCTTTTGCAAAAGAACCCTGAACTTGTTGCACACAAAATCTAAAAAGTATGGGGAAAAAATTAAAGAGGAGCCTCAGTTAAAAACTGGACAACACGATTAATGAAAAATTGAAAAGGAAGTGTAATGAAATCTAAGCAGAGTGGGGACACAGACGGAGAAGATGAGATGTCTGATAACCAATGATCGTGAAGCTCAATCGAACATGAAATTGTATCTAGCCTTGTGTAAATACAACAAACAAGTTTTGCTCAAAAGCAACTTTCAATTCGTTACATTTGAGACTGTGACTCCCAAAGTTATCTAACAAGATCGAAGTCACTTATATCAGTCATCAACTTTTTAATTAATGGTTTAGAATAGAACAAAACTTCATTCTTACAACAAGCTAAATCATTCGCACATAATAATCAACAAAACACAAATAAGCAAAGATAAGAAGAACCAGAGATAGATGGGAATCAAACTGTTTTGAGTTTTCATGTAAATCACATTGAGTTCAATTCACAGCATGTTGAATTCCACATGAAGGTTCAGCAATTCACACAAACCATGGACAATGTTAATATCCGTAGTGTAAGAGAAAAAAAATATTATACACACAATATACGCACAGAAAAAATTACTTCTAAGTCACACTAATAAAAATTTCATACGTCTCCTATCAACATGAACTAGATTGGGTTTAGGGCTTACCTTGAGAAATGGCAGAAGAAGATAGAAATTGACGCAGAAGCAGAAACCCCAGACTGAGTTCAAAGAGCAATAATGAGATTTTTAACAACCGATTGAACGAACAAGTTCTTCGCAAAAGGAATTAGGGTTTGTCCCAAGATTCTCAAAATGAGTTAGGTTTTGGTTGAATCAAATAGAGAGCGAAGTTTGAGTTTTTGTGGAGAAAAGAATTAGAGTTCTTTTGCTTTTTTTTTTAACAAAAGAATTAGAGCTATTCTTCAATGCTCACAAATGAGGCCATGGTATAAAAATAAAAAATATAATATAATATAATATTGAAAGAAAAAAAAAATTAGCTTAAACAACACTTTACTTACTACCTATAAAATAAAATATTTTGATTTTAATTTTTAAAAAAATTCCTTTTTTTAATAAATCTTCATTTTAATTTTATCATTAGATTGATCGTTAAATTAAATGATAAGAAAATCAAAAATTGTAGTGACTAAAATAAAAAAATAAAAAATTTATAAGAAATAAAATAGAAAATAATTAAAATTTGACAGAATTGAAATGAAAATAACTAAAATTATGAAAATTAAAATTAAGAAGGTTAAAATAAAAATAATTTTATTTTAAAGAGATTAAACTTGTATTTTAAATTAAGGTTTAAATATATTTATAGTTATTTAAATTTATGATAAATTTATTTTTAGTCCTTTAAATTTAAATTTTATTTTTTTAATCTTTATAATTTCTAATAATTTTATTTTAGTTCTTATATTTAGATTTTATTAGAAAAACTATCAAATATTATCACATAAAATCTACGTATTAGTGTTTTATTAGTAAAAATATTATATTAAAATTAGTTGATACTACATAATTGTTCTAATTTATCATTTTTGCCTATATTATTGGTGGTTTGAGGAATAAAACAAAATCTTTGAACATCATAAAATTAAAAATAATAGTTTTAATTTAAACTATCAAAAATAAATTTATTTTAAATTTAATGAACTAAAAATATATGTAAATCATATGATAAAGTGTCATAATAATTAGTAACATATGTTATATTGGCATAAAATAATAAAATATGTTTTTCTTAATATAATCTATAAGAGATATTGTGTTATGTAAAAAAGATATTAATGCTATTTTGTTTATATTGTCTTAATTTTTTTATTATTTCATGCTTAAATGTTATGATGCACTTTTTTATCTCCACTTTATTTTATGTTTAGTTGTTTATTTTACTACTTATTTGTTATATTTACTTTTTATACATTTGTAAAAGCGATTGTGTCATTATATGATTTTTATATAATTATATGTTTAATTTTAATAGCTCCTTTTTTATTCCCCAAATGTATTAGTCATAGTTATTTCTTTTATTCAATATTAGTGTATTTATTTATATAAAAGTTTAAATGTGATAAATTTTACACAAATAAATATATAGTCCCAGAAAATAAGATTGATTTCATTTTAATCTATTAATTTTAGCTATTTTATTTTAGTCCTCTTAAAGATTTGTTGTTTAAGTTTTGCTTCTCTCAAATTTAATTGTTTTTCTTTTGATTTTTTTATATTTTGGTTCCAAGCATTTTCTTTTTTTTCTATTTTGGTTGCTATAATTTTTTTTTACTTTTTGCTTATAGATTTAACAATCAATTTGATGGGAAGGACAAAAATGAAATAGAAAAAAATTATGAGATGAAAATAAAAAAAAATATATATTAAAAAGACTAAAAGAAAAAATATCCTATTTTTTATTTTTTATTTTGGTTTCATTTTTTTTTTTACTCTTTTTATATTTAACAGTCAATCTAATGTGAAGGATGAAAATAAAAAAAATAATTATGAAAGACAAAAATGAAAATAAAAATAAAAGAAATAAAAACAAAAACATTATATTTTATAAAAACTAAAAAACATATTTTAAAAAAAACATTATGAAAAAGTCATCAGCAAACTTCAAATTTATATTTAGGCCTAGACAAGAAGCTGAGGTACCAACAAAAAACTCAATAAAGGATTTTCTTTTTACCCATTTATTAATTAAAAATAAAGTTTTATTTTTTTAAATATCTTTTTTGAAAAGTATTTTTCAAATAAAAAAAAATATACTTTTGAAATATATATAACTAGTTTTTTAAACATATAAATTATATATTTCTAAGAACAATATATAAATTATATTTTAAATGTATGATAATAATTTTTATCATAACATAATATTATTTTTATTTATTGATAACTAGTATTTTAATTTATGATGCATATGTTGAATATTTATTATATATAACTAAATAAACTATATATATCAGTTAAGTCAAAGTATTTCGTACATTTGTATATTTTATTTAAATAAAAAATAAAATATAAAATAATCAAAATAGAATATAAATGATAAATAACTAAAAATAAAGTAGAAAATAAATGATAAATAATCAAAATAGAATGTTAAGATTAAAAAAATAATCATTTATAATTAGATAGTAATAATTGTGATTGGTTTACAATGATAGAATATCGACAAAGAAAATTTAAATTTAAATTAAGATTATTTTGAATTAAATAAACATATTAATTAGAAAAGATAACTATGATATCAAAAGGTAAAATTGGCTATTGAAAAATGAAAAATCAAAATTCCACATATATGTTATATATTGTTATAGATAAATAAATAATATGCTTAATGTATAAGTTATATTTAAATTTTAAATAAGTAGATATTTTTAAATATATAAATTATTTATATTGTAGCACAAAATTATCTTTATGTATTGATAATTTATTTAAAAATTATTAAATTTTAAATCATAAATAATTATGATAAATAAAAATCAAATTAGATTTAAAGTTGAAAGAATTTCTAAGATCACTTTTATTGAAAAAAATTTCTAAAAGCATTATCATATCGTTTGTGTTTTATATATAAGAGTTAATTAGTATTTTAGTTTGTGCAATACACAAGTTAAATATTTATTATATATAATTAAAATTTATAAATAATTATATATACAAATAAATATTATATTTGATATATAAGTCATGTTTAAAATTAGAATAAATGGATATTTTGAAATATATATATATATATATATATATATATA